TCCAATCCCTAACAGTGTCACAGATATTTTTCATGTTGGTTTAATGAAATATTGAATATTTTAGATGATGATGGAATTATTTATGCAGTGGGCCTACTATATTATGTATGGCGAGCGAGAAATTGTGCTGTATGGGATGCATGCTTACCTAGACCACGAAAGATGATTGCTACTGTAACCACAGCGATCCGGGCGTGGCGACTTGCACACCCGGACCGCACGCAGCCGGCCGAACGAGGAACTGCCACGGCCAATACCGAACAAGCCCGAGGGGCTACTGCCCAATCTGCTGCTGGCCTGCTGTTCGGATTCCAGTCCAACTGCCAACTGCCGTGGCCGCCGGAAGCCACACGACCATCCCCTCATCTGTAAGCCATGGAGGCATGCGGAACCGATGCAACTTTGATGCGGTGTATTTCCACAACACGAGTAAAGCGACTGTAGGGGCAAGACGGACAGTGATTGTATATCTCAGCTCTACAGGCACCGATGATAGACTGCTTCTCCCCTCTTATGGCAGAAGCGTTTGCATGTAAAGAAGTTTTATCTTGGCTATGGGATCGTGGAGAGAGATCGGTCGACCTCTTAACGGATTGCTTGACACTTCAACAATATTTATCACTTGCAAAGGATACACCTTGCTTATATCTTAGCTATGCGATTGATAGCTGCAGGAGCCGAATGGTTTCCTTTGATTATGTTTCACTAAGTTTTATTCCTAGATCAGATAATTACTTAGCACACACTTTAGCAACTTCGGCTTTTAATTACTCAGCTGCTATGTATTCAGACTCTGGCCCGCCAGACTCTATTTCAACTTACTTTCAATAAATGCCGCACAGGCTCTTTTCAAAAAAAAAAATAAATCATAATTGACTAATAAGCTAACTCTGTTACCAAGCAGAGCCATTATTTGAAGCTGCGACCCTAGTACCCTACGATGGATTTGTGAGTTGAATTCATCATATACTATTAGAGTTGGTTATTTTGCATTTGAGACCAAATAATGAAATATTATGAATGCACAGCCAAGTCGACCATTATTTCATTTGACTACATTTAACTTTTACAACTCGATTGTACAACACAACTACATTATTTCATTTGACTAACATTGACATTAATTCCCTAATTAATTACCTCTAACCAGCATGGCTAGCTAAAGAGGGGTATAAATTAAAGTGTTTTAAAAAAAAAAAAACATAAAACACAGAGGAGTCTCAATTTGTTCATACATGAATTTAAATTCCTTTGGTTTACAGGAAATTCCGTAGCCGCAATTCAAAAATACGTTTTGGGTAAAACTTATTTTGTGATCCTAATCGGCAAATGACCACAATAAAAATATTGTAAACCAACCTAAGTAGTTCATTAGAAAATTCAACGGAGAGTTGAACTTGAATCATTGTGGTTATTAAGTAAACTATTTGACTAACTTAGATGTGGGTTTCCCCCGACCTCATGAATGTAAATTCCTGATGTTATGCTTAAATAACTTGAACCCCTCTACTCGAGCTAACATTTTTGGTGCTAAAAGTGAATATTTTAATACCTTGAAAAAAAGTTACAAAAAAGTTAATAACAGAGTTAGAAAAAGTTCATTATTATTATATACTATGTAATATAACTTAATACGTACTCCGTAATAATTTATATTACATCAACGTTTCTTTTTCAATTTGATACATACTATATAATATAACCTCTCACAAAAATTTACTCTAATTGAGGTTTAAAGTTTCCAACCCCTTACCTTATGTCTCATGTACTTTAGTTGTTAAGCCAAAAACCATTATCACTCCACTATATATTCATTTATTTACACAACTATACACTTGTCTCCTTATTTTTTTTTCTTTTTTCTTTTAAATCTAAATGAGAAGGGTTCTTGCCTTCTTGGTCATGGTGATTGAACCTGTCATGATAATTTCATCTGTCAGATCACCGCAAAGAGATCGACACAACACAAGTCATGCGTCCAGGTTTTTACTAACACGTACCAATTCATCATATAATAGCAATTAATTAATTAGGTTAGTGAGTTTGACCAGTTGATAACATTAGTTGATTGCAGAAAAGTGTTTGGTAAATTAATTGTTAATTTATGACTGATTAAATGCAAAATTATATTCTCAAAAAGCTGATAAAAAAAACTGTTTTGAAGACCTTTTTAAATTTTAGCATTTTGAAGTAATAAGTTAACTATGTTACCAAACATGACCATAGTGTCACGTTGTATACTGATATGTATGTTGTGTCAGAAGTATCCAGTTGAATCCTACATCTAGTATTTTTAATTTTTACCATTTAAAATTAATTTGAATCCTATTTAAGTCGCACTCATAAAGTGTGACTCTTACTCGGAAAAAAAAACTAACTCTTACATACATTAATTACAATATAACCAATTAAGTGACCTCACTTCAGTGTAATCTTAAATTCTAAGCAAGAGTTAATATATCGTAGTTTCACATTATATGAGTGATATATAGTGTGGGTATTGATGAAAGACCATTCTTGCGTAGCAGCCCGGCCAGCAACAAAAAATTAAATTGTGGTTGCAAAAGTAAGAGGGAAAATTAAATGAATTGGACCGAATTTAATTTACAATGTATTATGGATGTTTGATTTGATGTTGAATCAATCGTACAACATACCAAGCCAGCTGGAATGTATAGTAGTTGAAACAATAACCTATAAATCCTAGGTAGTTAGGTAACCTCCACTCCACCTTCTACATTATACCTGGCCTGTGCGTATAACTACTTATTCCAGCATAAAATTACAAAAATATATTTCGGTTCATACGAGACCACTCTCCTATGAGGAATATAGAAATTTCTGTGCATACCAACATTTGATTCTGTCTACTGAATTATTGAGTTATCGTGATTTATATCTTCCAAAATCTTCTATCGTGTACGGATATAAGGAACCCTTGGGATTGAGGATTTAACATTTTAGGAGAAGAAGAAATATAAACAAACTTAATAAGTTGTCTATTTAAGATAACCAGTTAATAAAAATAAGGTAAAAGATACAAGATCAGTTTTATAATATATATATATATATATATATATATATATATATATATATATATATATATATATATTCATTTAGTTGAATTTCTTTTTGAGAGACTAGCATCGTCTCCAATTTGGGAACTCGTCACCCCATATCAAAGGCTTCTTTCGCAAAAGGGTTTGGGTCTAATTATATTTTTATGTGTAACTTAATAATGATTATTTGACTATTTTTGCGTTTATTAATGAGACATATGAAGTTGAATTTTGGTCAACATATACCATCCAACCTAAAATGCAAAAACCTTATTATTAAATCGAAGGATTATCATAAATGTAGCACTAATTCCATTATTTACAATTAATGGAATTATTGGCTTAAATGCAAAGCATGAGAAAACCAACTTTATCAACCACTCCGATCCAGACACGTCAAAGCTAATAATAATTCGCCGCATCAATAAATTCATTTGTTACTACTACATTGTGCGGACTGGAGTAAGCCCCTACAATCTACACTCTACACTAAATCTAAAAAATCATTAATATATTTGGGTGAATTGAAAAAAATAATACTTATATATTTAGTTTTACAAGTAGGATGAGCTAATTGAGATACGTGTTCAATCTTAATTTAAAGTTTAAACTCATTATTTCAACATGTTCCTCAAGTGTCCTAGTCGCTTAGAGGCTAGAGCATTCTCAATAGTTGTAATTTTTAAAGAGTTTTCATAGAGTGACTATGAAAAAGAAGATGAGACGGGAGAGAAAAAAAAAACAAAACAAAAACAAAATCAAAATCTAAAAAAAAAAAAAAAAAAAAAAAAATTAAGATTTACTCGCCCAGCTTGGCACGAGAGTTGCGTTCACAGTTCACACCCCACAAATGGCGCTGTTGTTGCGTTGTGGTGGGCCCACTTCACTGCCAAAAATCAAGTGCTTGCATGGAGACATTTTTTTTTTCTCTCTTCTTATCCTCATAAGCCAAGCTTCCTCAAAAACCTACCCAAAATGCATTGATGGGAATGCCCTTTAATGATTTTTCACTTTTGAAAATATGGTCCCTAAGAGTTAATTTAAACAACTTTAACCCATTCATTGTTTATAATGTTCAAAATTTTAGTCGCTAGCTAGTGCGATATAATTACTCTATTATAATTTTTTTTACGAGATTATATTTATCATTTAGAATAAATACTAATAGTTAAAAATGTATTCTACTCAATGACAACCTCATTTTTAATCGTGAATATTGATTTTAAATGATAAAAATAACATCATATGTTAATAGAATTATATCACACTAGAAACTAAAAGTGTAACATTATGACAATTAATGTGATAACTTTGTTCAAATTAATTTACATGGATTAAATTTTCAAAAGTGAAATAAATCAGGAATCGAAAAGTTCCAATTCTCTTTATATAAATAAAAAATAATTGTATATTCATTATTTACAAAATTTCACTGTTTTTTTTTTCCTGAATCCTTACTATTTGGCATTTTATAAAATATTTTAAATATCATGTTATATAAAACCATATAAATTATTGTTAATCCATCAAAGTTCTAGGGCTCTTTATGTGAGCTTATGAATTAAAATAAATTATTGTGTGGACCATAATAAAAAGTACATTATTCATGTATTAAATGTACATTATATAAATAATGTATTTTTTTTAAATACAATGTATATTTTTAATATATTAAAAATACATTATTTGTATACTGAATATACATTATTTGAAAGTATGATGCTAGACCACACAATAATGATTGTAATTGATGAGAAGGCAACCTCATGAGGTATTGATGTGACGAAGCGGTAGAGAAGTTGAGCCATTTCTATTTAATGCTATCAAACTGTGAGTATATACTTTATATAAAGGCCTATACCCTTTAAAGAACTTCGCCGGACGCAGTGATCGGAAAGTTGATCGAAGGCAATTCTGATCTGATCTGATCATTCCGTCAAGATGATGAGAGTGGGAGTGTTAGCGGCGGCATTGCTTTGCTTTAATGCCATTGTGGGGAGGATGGTTCTTGCTAGAAATTTGGGAGTTGAGGATGCCAAGTTCTTTTGGAGTGGTAATAATGGCGGCGGATTTGGGGGAGGAGTCAGCGGTGGCGGTGGTGCTGGAGGCGGCGGCGGTGGGTTTGGTGTCGGGGGAGGAGTTAGCGGCGGAGTAGGCGGCAAGGGTTGGGGGATTGGAGGTGGAATAGGCGGTGGGTTTGGGAAAGGCGGCGGCGGAGGAGAAGGAGGCGGTGGTATTGGAAGCGGAGAAAATGGCGGTGGTATTGGAAGCGGAGATAATGGCGGTGGGGTTATAGGGGGTGAGGATAAAGGTTATGGTAAAAGTGGTGGAATAGGCGGCGGAGTTGGGGGTGGAATTGATAAAGGTGGCAGTGTAGGAGGAGGTGTCGGCGGCGGCGCCGGAGCCGGGGGAGGGTTAGGAAAAGGCGGCGGCATTGGTGGCGAGATAGGTAAAGGCGGCGGGATCGGCGGTGGATTTGGGGGAGGATTTGGAAATGGCGGCGGCATGTTGAGTGGCGGTGTAGGTGGAAGTGTAGGGTGGGGTATACATAAAGGCGGCGGCGGCGGCGGGATTGGTGGTGGATTTGGCGGAGGAATCGGAGGGAGTATTAGCAAAGGCGGCGGAGGTGGTGTTGGTGGAGGAGCTAGCGGAGGCATTGGCGGCGGAGTTGGTGGAGGATTTGGCGGTGGAATGGGAGGCGGCGGTGGCGGTGGCGGTTGGCTCGGAGCTGAAGGTAGTAATAAGTTTGGACATCACTAAAATTTTGTGTCGGTCGTGGGTGCATGCATGGATGAAGCCACGTACTACGTAGAATGGGATGGGAACTTTTACTTATTACCACAATCACAAGCAAATTTACCATTTTTATTGTCAGTTAATTTTCTAATTTGTTACCATAAATGAAATGAAAAGCTTTTTCATGTTAGTCACTCTATCATTGCCTATACGTAGTCCATGATAGATGCGAATATAGCATTGCAAACAATGAGAGCATCCGATCCATTTCAACTTGCACTTTGTCAATGTTCAAATAACTATGGATTTTTCCACCATCCACTAATACAAGCACGCTTAGCTTAACCACAGAATTCTTTGATTATCTGTTTGTTATTTTCTTTTTAAAATCAAAATTAGTTATAAGTAGGTGAACATTAACCATTTAACTCATCCTTTCATGATAAACCATAAGGCCGGCTAAACCTAACCGACACCTAACAATATTAAAATCCCCTTCATGATCTTTCCTATTCACATTTTTACTAAAAGACACTTTAGATTTGTTGTAGTTTATAGACGAACCAAAAGTTGTCATAAATTTAGATAGGCCGTACTTCTTTAAGGACATTGCATTCAAGAGAATTTGCTCTACAGAAGAAGAAATAGTTGTCCGCAAATAACAAGTGAGAGATTGGTGATAGACCGGCCATGGATAACTCCTCTAATATCCTGTGATTTAATCAGGGGACTTAAACCTTCTAAGACCATGTTAGGCAAGTATATGGAGAGAGGGGATCTCCATGCCTTAAGCCTTTGTGAAGGAGGATAATTCAGATTTTAGCTCCTTCAATGAGAATGTGATCAGTAATAGTAGAGATAATTCTAGTACCAATTTTGTCCACTTAGCACAAAAGCCCATCCTCTTCATGATTTCTACTAGAAAGTTTCATTCAACCCGGTCATAGTCTTTGTTCATGTCAATTGAGTTTAAGAACAACAAAACCTATTTTACTTTGAGTCTTCCGATTAATTTCCGTTCGCACCGAAGTCAGCCCAATTAAGAGACAAAGTGCTAGCCAGATTTATTTTTCTATATGAGAGGAGGTTCGATCTCTCGACTTCTCTTAAGGGACAAGAGTGCACGGCCACTCACGCCTTATCAGGATACATGTTGAAAATAGTTATTTTTACCTCCACACTATCAACGTTCCTGATTAACTCTTCATTCTAGTCTGAGATGTTTTATTGCTCAAGAATTTTCAAGTAGTTTTTTTGGAGTAGTTATGCTGTGCATCCGTATGCACCATGCATGGTGCATACGGATGCAAAAACGGTGTCGTTTTATTAAAAACACGCGTCTCCCCTAAAAAAAAAATCAGGTTCAATTCTCAGCAACAACATTATGGTGTTCATTCATTCTGGAATTTTAGTTCATAGATTATGGAATTTTTATTTCATTGATTCTGGAATTATAGTTCATCGATTCTGAAATTGTAGTTCATCGATTATGAAATTTTAGTTCATAGATTCTGGAATTTTAGTTCATTCATTCTGGAATTTTTAGTTCATAGATTAGATTCTGGAATTTTAGTTCATAGATTCTGGAATTATAGTTCATCGATTCTGGAATTTTAGTTCATATGTTGTTGCTAGGAATCGAACCTGATTTTTTTTTTTTTAAGGAGAGACGCGCGTTTTTAATAAAACGACGTCGTTTTTGTATCCGTATGCACCATGCATGATGTATACGGATGCACATCATAATTTGCCCTTTTTTTGAGCCCCCGAGAATAATCCAATGCGTCTATGGTCTTGTCTGTTTCTAGCCCATTCTGTTAGCAATGTTATTATTATATGTTATATCTTTAATTAATATTGTAATAGGTTAGAATTCTATGACTTCCCTATTAGATAGGATTACTTTAGGTAGATTGTTTAGCTTTTAGTATTATAACTCCTATCCTGTTAGAATTGAATTAGCAATCACTTATCTCATTCATTCCATCTGTGTCTTAAAGAAATCAATTTTCTATTGAAAGTTTGACGGATGGAAAGAAAGGAAAAACTTGTCACGAAGAACAAAAGGAAGAAATTTGTTACATAGAACAAGAGGAAGCTAGTATATGCTACTTGTCTAATTTTTGTAAATTTTATTTTTGAGAAAATGATACTTTTGGTTTTGGATATAATCAAATTATACTTATGATGATATAAATTCGATCTCTTAATTATTAGAAATTTCACTTTTAATACTTTAGTTAACATTAAAGTTACGATATTTGTCTCTGTCATTAAATTTTAAACAATAAATCAAACGATTTTAATTTAATTTTCTTTTCCTTCTTCAACATTTTGTCTTCTATGAGAGATAAAATATTTCATCCAGATTGATGAGATCACTATATTAATAGACTCCAACCTGTACTCAGTCACAATCATAAGAATTTGAAGTTTAATGCATTACTCTTATTTGATAAAGAGTCAGATTTTTTGTTTATCAAAACAGTGTGAATTGAAGCTTATAAAAGAAATTTTCTTCTCTTTCAAGTTATTTTATTTTATTTTATTTTAAAAAATCCAAGTTATTTTCTATTTTCGAAATTAATTATAAATAAATATATTTCCTATTTTTCTTCAATTTTCTATGTTTTTAAAAACTAAAAAATAAAAAATTAATAAATACATTTATAATTTTATATCACCAAAAATTAAACACACGTTAGTTATAAATGTGTATCCAACATCTGACGGAATCCAAAGTTATCGTCACATAAAAGAAATATATATTTTATAAAATTAGTTAATATTACATCCAAAATCCAGTCTGACGGAATCCAATGTGGACTTTGGGAAAAATATATATTTATATTTAGGTTAGTGTCACATAAAGCACACATGGACAAAAACCATAATCATTTTGATCATTTTCAATGTCAATTCATAGCAATAGACCCAATTGATTGGAAATGCATAAACGCTAAAAAAAATTGACATAAAATTAATGAGTAAGGCTACATTTCATTTAAAAAATTTCATTTTATGATCAAATTAAAAGTCGATGATGAAAATGAGTAAATCTCAATAGTCAAAGGATTATTTATAGTCCAATTGAAAGTTAGTGATAAAAATTGATAAATGTCAATAAGTAAGGGATCATTCATGAAATTAAGTCTAGTATATTATTAAAGAAAATTGAAACAATCCGGGGGCTATTATGCAGGATAGGGTTTAGGTTATTCTTATTCCTTAAATACTCTATCACTATTTTTTTTTTTTTTTTTGAAAACCAAAGGAATGCATTAATTCATAAAGTGCGAAATACAAACAGGCAGGACATATTCCCAAGACCCAAGGACAGAAGAAGAATCAGATGCCAGAGCAAACTCATGAGCAACCTGGTTCGCTGACTGAATGACATGGCGAACAGAAACGTTCCCGATATCACTAGCAATACTTTCACACCATCACTATTAAAAGTTCCACACCATCAAATTTACAATTTCTTTATTATTTTATTTACATTTTTACAACTCCAACTCACTTTCAAAAGTGACCCCAAATTTTACATCACATTAAAAAATTAGTAACTTTTATCAATAAATATCATTTTCTCTCCACATTTATTCTTTTATATCAATATATAGTAATTACATTCAAATATTAAAAATAACAAAAATCAAATTCCATAATATGTAAAATTATTTTTTAATTAAAAAATTTATTTGTATTACATATATAATTAAATAAATAAAATTATTCAAAATAAAGTACAAAAATAAAATAATAAATTAAAAAGAGTACATAAATTATTTCTTTAAAATAATTAGATTACATAAAAATAAAGAAATAAAATTATTAAATACATAAACAATTAAAGAAAATACAAATAAAACAAAAGAATACAAAAAAAGTTTACCACTTGAGATTGCAGGGATAATTTTAGTATTACCCAATGCACACCATTGAATAGTGGTTAATAATTATTATTATTAATTAATAAGAGTGAACGAAAAAACTACGAAAGCAATTGTAAGGTTTTAAAATTTGTCATCTAATTTGTACATTGTTGTAAATAATATTAAGTGGACATTATTATAGTGTTTATAACACTTGTAACGGTCGGAGGATTATGACCACACTTATGGTTTCCGTTACAATTGTACATTATATATATGTGCTAATACCTTCTTGTATAGATGGAGTTTTGGATGCAAGATTAATAAAACTTCCTTGTCTCTTATCTTGTCTCTACTTTTCTTCTACTTTTCTTATTTTGTGCCACTTGCAACTGTATTCACCGGTTACCAGTTAGGAGCTAAATGGCCAACGGGCATAATCTCCCACAACACGTTATCAGCACGCTCAAACTTGGTGAACGGTAATTTTATGTTATTCTAATGCACGTTATACTCGTTTAAAGCATATACTATCATTTTTATGATCAGTGGATATATTTCTTGAATTATATGCTTTTTAGACAATTCGTATGGTATGAATGCATGATATACATTTTCTTTCCCGTATTAATCATAGTTGTCTAGATACCACAAAAAAATGGTATTTATATTATCTCATATGCTTTACGATTTTCTCAAAAATATTTTTTTTCGGTATTTCTTTTACATATTGCGTATATGTATATGTTTCGTATTAAAAATTTTTTTTTGGGAAAACCTTGGATTGGAGTACAAACAAAATCCATAATATGAGAATGGATTTGCTAGTGATCTTCCTTATCATAGATGGTTTTTAAAGATGATTGTCATCTTGTAGTGATCTTCCTTATATTACCTTTAATATTGAGTTCATATAGCTAGCAATGATGTGCCTTGTGCAACCAAATTGTTTCAATGACTATTCTCACATTGAAAACAAAAAAATTTGACCTTCAATTAAATGCTAAGAAATGTGATTTTGTATCATGGTTTTGGAAAAGGCATTGTTTTGTGGCAATTAGATATTGCATTTGTTTTGATTTGCCATAATAATCTTGATTATGATATGGGAATCATATTTTAGAATTCCTATTGAAATTGCTTATT